CAATAAAAAATTTTCAGTAGTGCGTAGTAACTCATGTTAATATATCTATTATAATTGCTTGCATTGTATTATATATTTATTACTAGTCTTACTCACATAGAAAAACATTTGATAAGTGTTCTTGCTACTACTTCCAGTTTGCTTATTCTAAGCTTGACCTACTTATGAAATTTACTCATAGAATGACCAACTTTATACAACTTCTATGAGTAATTTTGCAATTTTAAGAACAGTAATAGCTGTGACATTGTAATAAACTATAATAGAATCCATTGAATTTTGTTGCATATAATATAATATAAAGAATACTTTGCAATTCCTTCTTAATTATTTCTTTTATCATTAAATATTACAATAATTATGTTCTACAGATTTACACAGAATTTTTTTCTCTATACTTTTTATTTATAGAATTAAAAAGTAAGTGGTTTAATTGAATCAAACAATGTCTGTATGTCAACACTACTTGCAAATCTTTAGAATTCATACTTACTAATGTGGAAATATTGAAAAAAATTAAAAATGTATAAAATGTAACTGATAGTTACATTCTTTTAACATGATAGTACATAAACATGGTTTGACGTATTCACTAAATTGCAACATTACGATAATTGACACTAAAAAACAAATAAAGATATTTGCAGTTTAATTACAATGTGAAATCATTGATATACTGAAACAATTTGTTCAACATACACACAATGGATACAAAACATAAGATGTGTAATATCAGAAGTCGTAAATCGAACCATAACATTGAAAAAACTAATTATTTAAGATACTATATATCTGTTAGATATATAAACAAAGGAGTTCACTCACCGAGGTTTAAGTCACAAAGAAGACAACAAGCCGCGATAGCACCAGCCGATGCACCACTAATCTTATCCAAGAGCAAGTGTGGAGCGTATTTCTTGAAGCATGCCGCCACACCAACGTGGTAAATACCAAGGAAGCCACAACCAGCAAACGATAAATTCATTTCGGAATTCTCTTATGTGTTATGTTATTTATTGTTACTTTGTTTAGATAAATTGTGAAGAATCAACTATACAATAGATTAAAAAATACTGATTTCCTTTCTACGACACTACAAATTTCACTCATAAGGAAGAGTCTTATAACGACGTACTTCGCACGACGTCCGAGTTCGAACTATCAGTAGTCCTTTGCAGCAACAACAGTCTCCCGTAACTCTCAAGCCTAATCTTGAGTATGATTGAAAAAAATACATGTTACAAACAGCTAGAGAGATAGTACTCATTTGATGACGTACAGATTGTAAATACTTATTAAGTCCCTCATTGGCTGAACATGATGGTGTGGTGAAAGCTCCGCCCACTTAGTGTTCTTAAACTCATTCATTGTGTCAGAATTCCACAGGTGCACGTGTTTTTCAATAAAACAACCAAATTTTTAGATATGTTCACATTTTTGTAATAAAATACGTTTGACATATTGCATTATAAGAATTTAGTAAGTAAATTAAAGTAAATTTTACATAAAAAAAA